GAACAGGCAACATATCGAACAAACAAGTGGCAATAAAAAAAGAGTGGCTGCTGCTACACAAAGTGGCTGCTAAATATGGCACAATTATGTCGCTCTTTTTTCTCTCAGCACCTTAATCTTCTCACCATCTCCCAACACCACCACTGCCACGCTGTGCCCATGAAAGAGTAGGGCATAATTTATGGTGAGAAAAAGAAAGAAAGCGGAATATATTCCCTATCCTTTGGATTGCTTGTGTATATTTTCGTTCGGTTAAACAGATAATACCGGGAGATCAAACATTTTTATCTTGTGATTTAAAGCTAATGGAGCTTAACGCAAATAACGCCTCTTTAGAATGTCTAATGGCATTTTCAAAAAAAAGGGGGAATATATTTAAATTCTTTGGGGAGAAATAAACGATTATGTGCGTTATAGGCTATAAATTATTTATATATGTATTTATTATGTCTACCGAGGAGTATAACACATAAATAAAAATAATGTGGAAAATAATTAATTTTCTACTTTTAAAGTGTTATACGGATACCTGAATATGGGGGCATATTGTAATTAGTTTTTATTTTATGCTAAATATGCTCTGAGAAGCCTAATTTGATATTTTCCACGTGTATAACAGTTTCAGCAAAACTGTTATACACATCTAAAAACTCAAAATTCTTCGTAAGACGAATAAATCCGTGGAATTCTTATAATTTTTTGTCATTTTAAAAATTTTAACGTGATTTTAACTGTTATACAGGAGTCCGAAAGTCGTGAAATAACCCAAATAATACCTATATTACGTTACAAATAGTCCAACAGATAAAAATATGACATTTTCGAGCAGTATAACAGTTTTCCAAAACTGTTATAATTGTACTTAAACGCGGGATTGGGCTTTAATAAATAGTCTTTAATACCATATTTATAATATAACATATAACAACCCACAAATTTCTCTTAATTTACGGGTTTTTATAACAGTTTTTAAATTAAACTTATATTAACTGTTATACAAGGGTCTGAAAGTCGTTGGATAGTCATAAAAGTAGATATATCAAGTTCTGTGTACTCTAAAAATTAAAAATATGCATTTTCGAAGAGTATAACAGTTTTTCAAAACTGTTATAATAGACAGAAAACACTGGAAATGGCTAAAATAAATAATCTACAATACTGTATGAATATTTTCTTAAACAAAAACACATAAATTATCCTTAATTTATTGGTTTTTAGAACAATTTTTTAATTTAAATTATTTTAACTGTTATACAAGGGTCGGAAAATCGTTGGAGAGATACATAGGTGCATATTTTACATTGTATTTATTCTAATAGCTCTAAAATATACCATTTTTGGAGAGTATAACAGTTTTCTTAAAATGCATTATTCAGAAAATAACTGTTATACAAAGATATATTTTTAACCTAATCATAAAAATTATTGAATTCTATTATTGTAACAGCAAAGATAAGTACAAATATCAATTTTTCTTGTGTATAACAGTTTTCCAAAACTGTTATAATTTTTTTCAAAATGGAGCAACTGCAATAAAAATCCTATTGTATAATGATATTTTATCGTTTTAAGAAAATATTAAAAGTTTTTACACACTTTTTACACAAATATGTCACCAAAAAACTTTTAAACAACCGCTATTTCAGGAGATAACTGTTATACGAAGATCTATTTTTCACCTAATCATAAAAATTAATGATTTATGTTATTGTAACAGCAAATACAAGTCAAAATATCAATTTTTCTCGTGTATAACAGTTTTCTCAAACTGTTATAATTTTTAAAAAATGTTGCAACTATAACAAAAATCTTGTTTTATAGTGATATTTTATTGTTTCCAGAAAATATTGATAAAAACCCGTTCAAATAATAATTTTTTTCACAAGCTAACTGTTATACAGTCCTCTAAAATTCAAGAAATCACGGAAATTTATGATTTTTCACATGACAGCATCCAAGAAGAGCACAATAATATATTTTCATTTGTATAACAGTTTTCTAAAACTGTTATAATTTTTAAAAAATTATGGAATCATGACAAAATTCATGCCTATGAACTTTTTAAGAATTTACAACTGTTATACCCAACAGCTAGTGGCCATAGTGTCCATTTTATTCGTTGTTGATATAACATAAAATAAAATTGTTTGAGGTTTTTGTTTTTATTTAAGTCTATAATTCTCTTACCTCCCATTTTGTCCTCTCGCGAACACCTTTCTCTCTCATGAGAATGATAATAAAATTCTCAATTTAATTCCCCGAACAATCACTTGTTGTGCGACTCTCTTTTTTCTCATTCTGTTCCCAGTGCTTGGACCCTGATGCTCAACGAAAATTGATTTCTACAAGTAGAAAAAACGACGCAGATTTCCAACATTGTTTGTATTGAGTATAATCAGAATTTTGCCAAATACATAAACAAATCGAAACAAAAACATTCGAAAAAATTCGAATTTTTCGAACATTTCATTATGTTTTCCTCAATTATTGGCTCAGTTGTTCGTTCAATGGGATCTCGTACAGATTCATTTGAAACACACACTTTTTTTCCTCCTGCTACGGTAAACGGTGAATTTTGATTTTTTTTCAGTATTTGAATTGAAAATTTTGTGATTTGTGTGTGCGCGTGTGTGTATTTTAAAAAATAAAATCGAAAAATAGTCTAGTTGGCCATTCAAACGAGTCTCCATAAAAAAAGAAATATATAGAGAAAAAATTCTCTACAATTAAGGCCTTTTTGGCGCCAAGCGTTGTCTGGAATTTTTGGTTGCGTTGCAATGTGTGTGTGATTTTTTTTTGATTTTTTGAAATTTTCAAAAATATGTGCTAAATTCTGTAAACATCAAATATTTAAAGTGTTTCAGTGGTTTTTGTTTGAATTACAATTACAAAATTGAAATTTTGGCTGAATGTTGTAATTTATGGTTTCTTCGTTCGGTTCGAAATAAAGACATCATTCATCACTCTGCGGCCTGCCAAATGTAAAGTAATTAAAAGGTATATAAATGAAATGCATATAATAAACTATTTAAAAGAATGAAATGTGAATTTACAGCAAAACAAATTAAGATTACCAAGGAAATGTGCCAAGCAAGTGGATTATATAAAATTGTGATAGAGGAAAATGATTTTGAAAATCTTGAGAATTTAAAAAAAAATAAAAAATGAATAAACTGAAAAAAAAATATTTAAAAAAGAGTAATATTTGTAAAACAAATTTGCTATGAAAAATTGAGAAATAAAATATTTCAAAATTAAAATAAATATTTTTTTAATAAAATATTGGAAATATTGAAACTAATTTGGAAATTCCGAAAAGTATTTGGAAATCAGTCTAGCTTCCGAACGAATTGAAGTAGATTGATAAATTTTTGCTCAAATGTATGTTATGTCTGCAGGACTTTTGGTATTGAAAATGGGTCATGTAGGTCCACTTCTTAGTATAGCTCCCATATAACGGTACCTCCCGATATTCGGTATTTTGATGACTTTGGAGACATTATTCACCGGAATGGTTTCAAATTTGGTATTTCATGGATATTCAAAATGTTGGCCCTTTTGTGTGGGAGGTCCCAGAAGGAATGGTCCGATTTCTACCATCTTTAGAACAGATCTTATGTTGACGGAAATATTGAGTGGAACCTGCTGTTAATTTGTCTGAGTGGAACCTGCTGTTAATTTCGCGTTTAATGATCTTCAAGAATATTCAAAATTTTGACCTCTTGTGGGGGTGGTATATGATGGAGTGGACCAATATTTTCCATTTGAGCACCTGATGTAGCACTGATGAAAATATTTGGATATTACGATGCAACAGGTTTGGACCAACTGGGATACTCCCTTCGAGAGTTATCGTGAGCACCAGCCAACCAGACAGGCGGACAGACGGAAGGACTTCGCTAGATCGACTCCAAATGTCCTGAAACGGATTTCAAGTTTTTTTTTTCATATTTTTTAATTTTTTTTAGTTTTTTTTATTATTTTAATTTTTCTACATTTTTTAGTATTTTTTTCTAATTTTTTATTTATTTTTATTTTTTTTATTTTCTGATGGTATAAAAACAGTTTTCTCACGTTCCATTTTTTATATATTTTTTTTAGATTTTTTACATTTTTTCTAATTTTTTTTAGTATTTTTTCTATTTTTTTATTTATTTTTATTTTTTTTTTATTTATTTATTTATTTATTTATTTTTCTTGTTTTTTTCTTTTTTTTTGAAAAAAAAAAAATTTAAAAGATCTGTTGAAGACACATTTTGGCCCCTCAACTTCACAGTGCTTCATATTCACATTGCATTTTATTTTATTCTCAAATGAAAGTAAAAATCTTATTTTGAAAGTAAGCCTCCTTGACTCTTCGTAATTTAAATGTGTCAACAAATTTGTTTGAAAACAAAATTCAGCCTCAGCTTTTTGAGAAATTTGAGGTTATACAAACAGGTTTTTAACTTTCCATTTTTTTAGTTTTTTTATATTTTTAATATTTTTTAGTTAGATTTTTTAATTTTTTTTATATATTTTAATAATTTTTTTTTGTTATTATTATTATTTTTTTTTTTTTTTTGAGTGAAAAAAGTTTTTGAAAAGATCTGTTGAAGACACCTTTCGGCTCCTCAACTTTACAGTGCTTCTTATTCACAGTGTATTTTATTTTAATTTCAAATGAAAGTAAAAATCTTATTTTGAAAGTAAGCCGCCTTGACTCTTCATAATTCAAATTTGTCAACAAATTTGTTTGAAAACAAAATTCAGCTTTTTGGGAAAATTGAGTGTATACAAACAGTTTTCTAACTTTCCATTTTTTAGTTTTTTTTAGTTTTTTTTTTATTTTTTTTTTTAATTTTTTATTTAGAAATTGTTTATCAAATTTTTAATCATTTTTGTATATATATATATTTTTTTTTTTTTTTTTTTTGGAGTGAAACATTTTTTTAAAAACAATTTTTTAAGACACATTTCGGTCCCTTAACTTCACAGTGCTTCATATTCACAGCCTTAGCTGTTTGAGAAATTTTTTAATTTTTTTATATTTTTTTTTTAGATTTTTAAATCTTTTTGGATTTTTTTTATTTTTTTTGAGTGAATTTTTTTTTTTTTTTAAAAATCTTTTGGTCCCTCAACTTCACAGTGTTTCATATTCATATTGTGTTTTACTTTAATCTCAAATGAAAGTAAAACTCTTATTTTGAAAGTAAGCCTCCTTGGCTCTTCGTAATTAAAATACGTCAAAAATTTGTTTGAAAACAAAATTTAGCCTCAGCTTTTTGAGAAATTTGAACAGGTTTTTTGAAACAGGTTTTTTAACTTTCCAATTTTTTTTAGATTTTTTTTTTTTTTTTTTTTTTTTTTGATTTTTTTTTTTTTAACTTTCCATTTTTTCGGATTTTTTTTAGATTTTTTTTAAATTTTTTTTTGTTTTTTATATTTTTTTAATCTGTTTTGTTTTTTTTTTTTTTTTTGAAGTGAAAAAAAAATTTTGAAGATATCTTTTTAAGACAAATTTTCGTCTCTCATCCTCACAATGCTTCGTATTCATATTGAGTTTTATTTTAAGTAATACTCTTATTTTGAAAGTAACCCTCCTTAGCTCTTCGTAATTCAAACACGACGACACATTTGTTTCAAAACTAAATTCAGCCTTCGCTTTTTGAAAAATTTGAAATGAAAACAATTACCTCTGAATTTTGTAGAAATTCTTCTGATTTTTTTGAATGTGTCTCCTTCATTTTTGTGTGATATATTTCCCATTTATTCTACTCTCACTCTCATCACTTTCCACAATGGGATTGTAAACAACAAACAATGCAGGCATACTTTTCTCTCTTGAGAGAGAGCGAGAGAGTGTGTGTGTGTGTGTTTGATTATAACTGGGAAAAAATACACTTTCAAATAAATATTTGCCCAGAAGAAATATATATCCCTCTTCAGCCACGATAAATATGGAAGTAGATTTTCCTCGGGTAACTGAATATATATGCTGCTGGTTAGCTTAGCAGTGTTGAATAACAAAGAAAATTGCTAGAAAAAATCACAACTAAAATAAAATTCGCACGACCAAAAAAAACCGACCGAAATATAGTACACCTGAAACTTGTTAAGTGCTGCCATGGAATTCATGGCATTTTTATGCAAAACTTCGACAATAAAAGCTTGGGGGAGAGAGAAAATATTTACATTCAGCGGGGTTTTTTGTTTGTTTGTGCGTTTTTTTGCCACTGAAACTAACATCAACACAACTAAAACTAGTCCCGGTGGCAGTTACACCAGCATACGGGCCCAATTCCAAAACCATTTCCCACCGACATTTTCAAGCCTTAACTCCTTTCTATTTGCCAACATATTCCACAGAATTTGATTTTTTTTTTGCTACCACGCAGCTGTTTTGGGTTTGGAGCAGTGAGGCGGTGTGGATGGGAAAATGTGAACATAAATCTCCAAACAATGCAATTGTATTGATTTAAACGCAACTTCCCTGCGCTCAGCTACCAAAATAGAAAAAAAAACATTTTAAGTAAATATTATGTTACTACTTAGCGTGCAATTTTGAAATAATTTTCAATTTGAAATTTAAATGGATTTAAGATTAAATGTTTTAGAATGCACTGGGGAGGACACAAAAATGTCTACTGCATAGAAGACCCAAAGGCATTCTATTCTGTAGAAGACAGTTAAAAACTTATTATCCATTGTCAGTTGAAGATCTCCTCACGTAAAGCTGAAACTCTTCTAGGCATATTCAGAAAATATATATAGGACTTCTCTTCTGAGAGGAGAATTCTAAGGCTTGATATGTGAGGAGGAGTTCTTTGTATTCTTACAGAGGAGCTTCTGAACTTTCCATAGAAGGGTGTTCACAGATAAAAATTATAGGCCCTCCCATCGAAGAGCTCTAAAACTTCCCCTAGAATTACTTTAAGAATTCTCCTGAAAGAGCTATAGATCTGTATGTTATATCTGAAAAAAATTCAAAGTCTTCTCACAAAAGGGCTCAAGGTATTCATATAGAAAAACTAGAGGAGGTCTTTTCGTAGAAGAAACGGTTTTATGTTTTTTCAGAGAAGGGTTCTAGGTCTTCTCATAGAATAGCTCGAGGAGGTCTTCTCATGGAATTACTCGAGGAGGTCTTCTCATAGAAGAGCTCCATGGGTTCTCCTCATAGAAGAGCTCGAGAAGGTCTTCTCATAGCAGAGCTCGAGAAGGTCTTCTCACTGATCTTGAGGACATCTTCTCCAGAAGAGCTTGAGGATGTCTTCTTAGAGAAGAAATGGAGGAGGTCTTCTCGTAGAAGAGCTATAGATCTTCTCATAGAAGAGCTATAGATCTTCTCATAGAAGAGCTATAGATCTTCTCATAGAAGAGCTATAGATCTTCTCATAGAAGAGCTAGAGATCTTCTCATAGAAGAGCTATAGATCTTCTCATAGAAGAGCTAGAGATCTTCTCATAGAAGAGCTATAGATCTTCTCATAGAAGAGCTAGAGATCTTCTCATAGAAGAGCTAGAGATTTTCTCATAGAAGAGCTATAGATCTTCTCATAGAAGAGCTATAGATCTTCTCATAGAAAAGCTAGAGATCTTCTCATAGAAGAGCTAGAGATCTTCTCATAGAAGAGCTAGAGATCTTCTCATAGAAGAGCTAGAGATCTTCTCATAGAAGAGCTAGAGATCTTCTCATAGAAGAGCTAGAGATCTTCTCATAGAAGAGCTAGAGATCTTCTCATAGAAGAGCTATAGATCTTCTCATAGAAGAGCTATAGATCTTATCATAGAAGAGCTATAGATCTTCTCATAGAAGAGCTATAGATCTTCTCATAGAAGAGCTATAGATCTTCTCATAGAAGAGCTAGAGATCTTCTCATAGAAGAGCTAGAGATCTTCTCATAGAAGAGCTAGAGATCTTCTCATAGAAGAGCTAGAGATCTTCTCATAGAAGAGCTATAGATCTTCTCATAGAAGAGCTATAGATCTTCTCATAGAAGAGCTATAGATCTTCTCATA